TCAAGTGAATGGCAGTGTCTTTTGATTACAATTCAGAGACCCGATCTAATATTCTGTAGACACTGGGTGGAGTTCCAACATGGGAACTGATAGATTCACTCTCTCAACTGCCTCTGCTCATGCAAGTTATGTAACAGAATACAGCAAGTCAACGCTGAATTATATGTTAGTTCTCTTTCCAGTTTACATCATAACAGTTTGACCAATTTGCAAAATATCTCTATTTATCTTTTAGTTGTCCATCTAGCTAAATACCAATTGATAGGTCTGGCCCATTTCCTTGCACTTCTCTGGTAGAGTTTGTCGTATCAAACTAATACTCAGTAAGTTTGAATATAATTCTCAGGGGAAATTTTGTCATCCCAGATATATGGTTTTGTGGGAAGGAGAGACTAGACAGCAAAGGTTGGTGTGAGCTATTCATAACACATTTGATTGAAATGTGAGGGGATATGGGGAAACGAATCTGTGTGCTTCTGGAACGGTTGGAGTAATGGATTCACTCTTCTGTCGAATCTTCCCACAATGATAACGTCAGATTATTGCTGGATATTTGTGAACCAAAAAACCTGTATCGTGGCACAAAGGCAACATGTGACCTTCAACAATCAAACTGACACCATAACCACGACGTATGCGTTAAAAGTAGATACTAATTCCTGTAAATTGAGGTGTGTCTCCCACTTTAATCGCATTAACAATGGACGCGAAGATGGCAAATGTCCACACTTTTTTTGTGGTTATGTAAACTTTCCCCCCAGTTGCTGCAGCGAAAATGAAAATCCCTCTTGTTTGATGTTTGAGTTAAAGCAGAATTTTCGACATTAGGACACTGATTTCTGACTGAAGCTTCTTCCATGCACCAGCTTCTTTAATGTCCACACAAATGTCATGTGTAAAACTACGCCTATACTTTGCCCAGATAAATTAAGCCTGAGTTCTTTCCCACTAGTAAGCCAAACTACTGATTTTCATGACTTTCTATATTTCCATAATCTTTAAATTCTATTGAGTTATATGTCTTTGTTTCAAGTTGGAAGAAGTGTTTATTTTATCAGGATTGTTCAGAATTTTTTCAAAAAAAAATCCATAGAAAGGCAATATGTTTTAATATTGGACGAGCTTTACAAGCTATAAAAGAAATCAATCACTTTATCTGAAAGCATTTTTAAAACACATTTTATATTCATGAATCGAGAATTCTCATTGAACCAATTCGGTTTACAATGTATTCTTTTGTAAACCTTTGAAAAACGATGGCAGATAGATCCCAACTCCGAAGTAGAGCTAGCGTGGATTGGAGATGGTGACTCTGTTGCTCTCTCCAGAGATGAACCCTTCCTGGAGAATTTTACCCTCACTGACTTTCTCTTATGTTGACGATCCTAATAAATTTGGAGCTTGATTAGAAGGAACAAACACGTTACAAAGGATGATTTAATGATTGACAGTGGATCTCCTGCAAAATTCTCAAACAATTCTTAAAGGCGTGGGCGTCTCGAAGTGTGATGTCAACCATATCAGTTTGTTTCAGGTAAAAATGTGCTGACATAATATGTTTGTTCATTTCACTGTAACTAATAGTAACAATCTTGAGTATAAATGTGTCAGTGGAGATTTATCGCTGTCTTTAACACCTCGTCTCTTTGGAAGTTTCAGTTCGGAGTATCTTTGGATATGTCATTGCCTGATCTATAAAAAAAAAGCACTTCTGACTCCAATGGAATATCCAGCAATAATTCAAATCGAACGCATTTGCTATCCTGTCCTTGCAATCTTTGGAGTTTTTGGTGAGCTCTCTTATAAATCGTAATTCATCCAAATGAGATTTTAATTACGTGGCTAAGAAAAGGCGTGTTTCTTTTTTTGAATGTAGGTACCGACATCAGCTGTCTGACTTAAAATCTGATAACACACGTTTCTCAGCTATTCAACAATCTGTTTCAGGGATGGAGATTCAGGCAGGTCAGATTTCTGACTGACAAAGAGGCTTCACAACGTTCTTTTTCATCAGAGATAAAAAGGTGTACAGCTGGATGAACACAGCAGTTCAAGTAGCATCAAAGGAGCAGGAAAGCTGACGTTTCGGGTCTAGACCCCTCTTCAGAATTTTTTTTTCTTTTTCATCAACTATTATTTCATTTCATGCAGCCTGTTGTTCCTTCTATGTGCTTTTTTTTTCAAAAATGTAGTTTATTTCTATTGAAATCAGGTTCATCTGTGTGGCGTCTATCTCATGTGGCGGACACATCTCATTTCTCCTTTTATGAGGATTTATTTAGTGGTGATGGTTTTCGTCCACAGTCGAATGTAATGTTGCATCTGTTTGCAATGTTTCTGTTGGATCAAATTCCACAGAAACAGTCCAAACAAATTTATCGATATATGTTTTTATAGCTATCCATATTATTATGCTTCACTGTCAAAGTATCCCAGCATCTAATATTAGCCTTCACAATTGTATTTCATTTCTGACTACATTGGACTCAGACAAGCAAAGCACACACTTACCGCTCACTCAATACTGAGATATTCCATATTCAGGTCACCCCTTTAAATCTCGTCTTCTAATACAATTTCTCCACAGTTAGATAACCAGCGCTCACACTCTGCTTTCTTCAGATTGTTTTCAGATGAATATCTGTGACTGTGTCTCACATCGAATATGGACACTGATAATTATGGAGTTGAACAAACATGTGTACCAGTTCACGGAACATCTGTGCTCCGTACATGCCAACTAACATGACTTTCCTGTTGTCATCCATTTTAATTCCCGGTCCCAGTCTCCTGGCGACATCTCCATCCTTGGCTTCTTCCACTGCCAGAGTGAGGCCAAACATAAACTGGAGGAACAACATCTGATGTTTCACCTTGGGAACTAAGAGACCAATTGCCTCAATATTGACTTCACCGGCTTCAAAATCCCTTCACCCAAACCTTATCTCATGTCCAGCCCTCCACCACCTCGTCGCTTCTCTGACCTGACCTAACCTGTCCATCTTCCTACCCACCTTTCTGTTCCACTCTTGCCAGTGACAAATCACAATAACCCCCTACGTGCATCCGCCTATCACCATGCCACCTACTCTCCCCGCAGTCCACCTCCTCCCTCTATTTACTGCTGGGCTGTACTCTGCTTCCCCAGTTTTGTCAAAGGGTTTTGGTCTGAAACATTGACTTTCCTGCTCCTCAGATGCTGTCTGACCTGTTATGCTTATCCAGCTTCTCGTCTATTGACTCCAGTTTCCATTAGTAGCCACGTACGTTGCTTTCTGTTCCTGCAGATTTACCAGTAAAATGAGAGTTGTCTACGCTTTATAGGTGGGCAACAAATGTCCTACTTCTGAAATAAACGTTAGTATATATTGGAGGATATATTAAATGACTAATAACTCACGTTGAGAGAATTTAGCTGAATGTGTTGCAGTCTGCTCGAAACATTAAGGATTTGACGTCACAGACGCAGCAAGAATGGTTGACCTCGTTCTGAGGCCCAGAAAGAACAGAAAAATCTTCAGAATAAAAGGCAAGCGACTCAGGACTGAGGTGATGGTCTGAATCTTTTTAATTCTCTGCCATACAGATGTGTGGAAATATAGTGATTAGTTAAGATCAGGAGGTGTAAGATTTCTAGTTACAAATACCGTCAAAAGCTGCGCAGATAGTGTGGAAGTACACTGTGGGGGAATAATCAGCGATTAACTAACATGGTGGAGGAGGATCAAGGAGATGAGTGGCTGAGTCCTACCTCTGTATTACTTTCTTTGTTTGATGTGGCCAGACCGTATCGAGTGCAGTATAAATGCATTGTGTCATTTTTCACATCATCTTGTATGATATGATTGAGCTGAACAAACGTATACGTGATGTATAGGTACTGAAATGTTCGCTCCATTGATGAAACAGGCAACCGTTTTGATTCAAGAACGTTGCAAATCAGTTAGTATTGAATTAATTGCGATGACTTCTACTTTTTTTCACATCGCTGACAATGGTGAGTTATTTGTCTAAACTTCTCCTTCGTATTGCTGCTTAATGGTCAAACAACATTCAGGTATTACCATATCAGGACCAAAGAAATTTGATACGCATCTTTGTTAGAAAATGACATATATTTGAGAAGGTCTTGCAGCTTCCTTTGTGTAGCGTTCTCATGAGATATGCTTGATGTTACTTCTGCCATTCTGCCTTATACTGCTGTTTGAAGTAAAATCAACAGCTGGCTTGATCATAATGACAAAATTAGTTTATACAAAGACAACGTTGTACAATGATCTTTTTGACACACTTGTTCGACATTCTATGGCTATTTATTTCTTCTACAAGCCTGAAATTAAGATTCAATACTTTTCATCCATCTGGTGTCTCTCACTGAAAACTTGGAAAATCATATAATATCCATGAATGCATATATAAAAATCTGCTGAAACATGGAGTGTACCCACTTGTGTTTCTGGGCAGAAGGCATTATAAAACATTCGGGCTGAATGGCTTTAAACTGTGGTTATTTCTATGATTTTGAGTTAATTGAAGTGGTTAAGAAACTTATACTCAATTTGTTGTCAAGGCAACCTCCCCAGTTCATTACACAGGCCCTCTTTCTCATGCTGTCATGGAAAGAATAAAAGATAGCAAGGAGATTGCTTCTCAGTTCCTTGTATTATTTCCCTCATAACACTTTTATGCAGGGACAATTTAGGCAGTGTTTCGTTAGCAAATCTGCTGGTCAGGACACGTGAGGTGGCACCATCCACTACTGCCAAAAAGTACTATGCAAATTGTAAACATTATGCACAGTTCATATTCTCAGCATTTCTTTGAGTGGCTTTGCTGATAAGAAATAATTGACCATTTGTTTGAGGGATGCGATAGGAAATGATTGGCAGACGTTCCCCTGGTTCTTTTATCACGTGATACCAAGTGTTGGGAAATTGCTGCTGTAAACGCTTATCAGAACAATAATTCATTTGCTTCCTTTTCCTTCTTTTATAGTTAACATGTTGGCAATTGTGATTTTGTCCCGAGGGAAGTGCGGTCTCTCTAAATGCATCACACGCTACCTTGTGGGAATGGCAGCGGCCGATTTCCTGGTGGTTATTTCAGAACCTATATTGTACAGGATTATTCAGAATTACCTTCCTGTTTCTTTTTTCTTTATTACTCCTGTGTGTAGCCTTATTTATTGCCTGGTGTTCACATCAACAGTCATATCCGTCTGGCTCACAGTTGCTTTCACATTTGATCGATTTATTGCCATTTGTTGTGAGAAGGTGAGAACAAAATATTGCACTGAAAGTGTGGCATCCCTGGTGATAGGGATGGTGTGTTTACTTAGTTGCTCAGTGTCTATACCTTGGTACTTCAGACATGAACCTGAATATGTCATTCACAATATTCCTTGGTATTGCATCACCAAACCAATGTTCTTCTCCTCAAATTTATGGGCCGTATTTGTCATCTTTTACGTCATTTTAACTCCGTGTGTGCCATTCTTTCTGATAATATTCTTCAATTTTCTGACTGTCAGACAAATTGTTATAGCCAGTAAAGTCCGTCATGGCCTCCGGAGCCACAACAATGGACAGCATGACAGGGACCTCGAGATGGAAAATCGAAGAAAATCCATTGTCCTACTATTTAGCATATCTGGTAGTTTTGTACTATTATGGGTGACACAGGTTGTTTTCTACATTTATCGGAGAATAACACAGATTTATTCATACCCGGTTACAGAGCCACTTTATATCACAGATTCTACAGCAAATATGCTACAGCTTCTCTGTTCCTGCACCAACACATGTATTTATACGATGACCCAGAGCAAATTTAGACAGGAAGTGAAGAACCTGGGAAAATATCCATTCAATCTACTCCTTAAATTAGTTAAGTCACAATGACAATCATTTCATTCATTCTCTAAAATTAAGTATTATTTCATATGATATGTTGAACACTCCATCCAAACCCTATTCAATGGAGATAACTTTGCTTATTGGTGCTCGGAATGCTCAAAAATAATTGCCATTCGAATCCGAAATTTCAATATAATGACAACAGCTCACCAAAAATATCTTGGATATATCCACAATTCCCACCCTACTGCTGTTCAAACACACACACACACACACACACACACGCACACACACACAGAGAGAGAGAGAGATTTTAGAGTAAATTGTGGAAATTAAATCTAATCCCTCGAACTATTGTCAGAAACTCCCCGTCCAAAGAGCAGATAAACAAATTTTCAGCTTATCTGTTATTCAAAACCAAGTTACTTTCAAAAGCGAGATCCAAAACTCCAGGACATTTCAACAGCTGTGACACTTCAGCACTCCGGTTCTCAATTTAGCGCTGAAAAGAATCAATCTACTAACTGTGGAAAAGTCACACTGGACTGGAGACGTTGACTCCTTTCTCCCTCCCTACATACTTCGATTTCAGTTTAACAGTGTCTGATTTTTCTTTTCATTACCGACCCATTAGCTCTTCCTTCAATTCCCAATTAAGGCAAGTGGTAAAGGCCAGTGAAAATTGACAAGCTTGCCACGTGTTCTTCATGCAGCTTCGGTTTCTGAAATCTCGATCTCAATGAACGCTGCAGTTTGACACAAATAGATCAACCATTTTTAAAGCCTCTTCAAAGCAACTCTCAACCTCTAAGATATTGAGTGATATGGGGCGCAGGTTTTCAAATTTCATTCCGAATTTATCTTTCTTTATCGTTGAGATTGTGGGATAACACTGAAGGAGTTTTCAGACATGTTTCCACACCCATTCTCCGAGCACATTCCTTTAAGAAGACAGAATAATAAATTGCACGGGACTTTGGTTCTGAAGCATTTTAAAAAAGGGAATAGATTTTCCTATATCATTTGCTGCTCGCCCCTATTTGCCATTCAGCTGTGTGGCTCCAAATGGCCACAATAGGTAAGGACAGTAAATTTAATGTCCTTAATTACTAGGGAGTTTATTTTACACAAATGAGAATGTTAACCTGGTCACCATTGGATTGATAGTCAAAGCAGATTGGTCTGAATTAATTCATAGAACGATACTGTACAGAACAGGCTCATTGGTCCATCGAATCTGTGTCGCCAAAAACAAAAACACATTAATTCCAACGTTAGTCCCACTTGTCTGCATTTGGTCCATAGTCTTGAATGGTCTGATACGTAAAATGTACATCCAAGAACTTTACCCACCTCAACTACCGTCTCAGGCAACGCATTCCAGAACACTGCCATGCTCTGGGATGTTCATTCTTATCCTGACGTTTTCTGCCATGCTGGAATTCGAACACATTTCCCCATAGTTTTCAACTTGTTATCTGCCTTATATATTCAGTGTCATTATAATTGAACCGTCAACTCCCAGTGTTGAAGAAAAAACGCTGCAATAATAAACTACACGTCATTTGCTAACACAGCACTTGCTATCAAGTTATACTTATTTTTAAATTATGCGGGCTTGGAAACCTCAGAACCAGAACGGATTCAAATCTCTATTAATGCTTCATAATCTCAGTGACATGGCCTTTTTTTTTTTGGGCAGAGTGGTAATTTTCCTGAACATGTAATGTGGTTTAATGCTTCAGGTTTGGCATTAAAACCTTGTTTCTGGCAGAATTTGTATTCAATTTATAAGTGGAAGGATAAATATTGTCATACCAGTTATGACCGTGACAGGATCATTGTCAGTTCCAAAACTCCATCTGCATCATTGATAAACTGTGAGGAATAAGGACTGGCACCAACGTCAATCACGTGTGAACCCAGAACTACAGCAAAGTGTTTATATCTTAATTGCCTCCTAAAATGGCTAAGGGCCATTAAATGGTAGTATAAGGCAGGGGTGGGTGTGAGATAGACCTTAGGTTTCGGGTAAAAGTTCGGTACAATATCGTGGGCCAAAGGGCCTGTACTGTGCTATACTGTTCTATGTTCTGTGCTCTATTAAAAGAAAATTACTCTGTTAAAGAGGGATAGAGAGGAATAGGAAATGAGGTCCACATCCCGTGACAGAAAAGCAACATGTTGCTGATTACTTTCTTTGGGCAACGTCACCGTATTGTGTCAATTACCAAACACAGAAGCACAGAGTTGTATTTTTTTTTTCAAGATTTCTTTATTCCTTGGAAATGGAGAAACCGAATAGAAGTTCACCACCAAAGATTTCACCGAACCGTTCAATTACAGTGATCTCTTCAGACAGCAACATGATGCCAAGAACCAATAACAGCACTTCCATCATCGTTCAATAGATTGCTAGTGGCCTGTTTGAGATGGAGCAAAAGCTTCAGGGCTAAGATAATATCTCTGACACCAAGCTTTAATTTTCTCTCTCCATCTGTCAGAAATGTCTCAAACGAGTGTTTGACATCTTTGGTAGGATGAATTATTTGTAAATTCTTCATGATTGAAATCATACAGTTGCATGGTTCCCAGTCCGATACGGCCAAACATGCCTCATTTCATCTGCAGTAACTGTCAGGTCTCTTGTTTTTAAATAAATCCAGTTGAAATCATCAGTCTTACCTCATTCATCGCCGTTGTCATGCCTGCCTTGAATATTTGCCTTGCTCATCTTAGCTAGCGTACCATCCTCAACCTCTTCTCTTTTCTCACTCTCACTTTCGGTCCTACATCACGATCTCACCTTCCTTGCAAGTTTAACACATCCTGAGTAGCACTAGCAAATCTCACTGCAAAGATACTCATCCCCTTCCAATTCAAATGGAAACTGTCCGTTTTATACAGGTCACTTGTAGCCCAGAAGAAATTACCATTGCACAAAAGTGTGGATCTTTGCCCTTTCACCGCCTCTCAGTCCCACATAAAACTGCCCTATCCTCCTAAACCTACGCTGACTAGCACGTCACACCAGGAGTCATCCGGATAGTACTACATGTGAAGACCTATTTTTTAAATGTCCAGCTTAATTTCCTACATTTTCTCTGCAGAACCCCAACTCTATCTCTCTCTATGTCATTGATACCAACGTGCACAACTACCTTCGGGTATTTTCTGTTCCCTTTAAAAATATTCTGCGAATGCTCCTTCCACGAGGGAAGCAACACACCATCCTGATGCCTCGCTGGTAGCCACAAAAGTGCCTGTCTGTGCCCCAGCCTACAGTGTCTCCTATCACAATCGGTAGTTTGGAACCTCACACACCCTTCGTTACAGGAGTGCCATTCGAGGTACCAGAAACCTGGTTGACAGTGCTGCATTCCCCTGAGAGGCTGTTACCCCCAGCCACATTATCCAAAACGACTTACTTGTTGAAATAGTTATTAACCCTAACCCTAACCCTATCGCTACCTGTTTGCATCTCTTAACTTTCTAGCAGTCACCAATCTATGTGATTCTATCTGCGATATTTCCACCTTCCTGAAACTTCCATCCGTCATGGTTCCTGGTTTCTGTAAACTTCTTATTGCCTCTAACTGCTGCTCCAACCGATGTATGCCAGCTGAACGAATTCAAAATCAAACACACGTCCTGCCAAGAGCATTCAAGTACTCAATGATCTCCGACATCCGACAGGGGCAGTACATCAATCTGCTGAAAGCCATCTCTGCCTCTCTAACAATTTTACAGGGGAGGCAATTGCCTAGCGGTATTATTGCTGGACTGTTAATCCAGAGACCCGGATAACATTCTGGGGACCTGGGTTCGAATCCTACCAGGGCAGGTGGTGGAATTTGAATTCCATGAAAATATCTCGAATTCGGAATCTAACGATGACCGTGAATCCACTGTCAATTGTCGGAAAAACACATCTGGTTTACTGATGACCTTTAGGGAAGGAAACTTGCATCCTTACCTGGTCTGGCCTACATGGGACTCCAGGCCCACAGCAATGTGGTTGACTCTGGACTGACCTCCCAGCAATTAGGGATGGGCAGTAAATGCTGCCTAGCCAGCGACCTGGTCATCCAGTTAGTGAATAAAGAAAGAAAAATCTGCAGACGAAAAAATTATCTTTCAACAAACACAACAAATATGCTCAAAATCTCACATTCAAATAGTCTTACGGATCAAAACGCTGCTGTGGGGGAAATTAATATAGATAATTTATATGAAAATCAAGAGGCAGGTATTAATGTAAAGATAAAAGAAACTCACCTTAATAATTCCCAAAAAAACAAAGAAAAAGAAAACATAAGTTTTAAAATTTAAAATTTAAAATTTAAAATTCTTAAAATTCAATCAGTTTACCTTTCAGAGTCTATAAAAGCAAAGCTCCATTTCTTCACTTCCTTTCAGGCAGTGCCGTTCCCAAAGTGGCCTCATCTACATCGGGAAGACCAAGCAGAGGTTTGGAGACTGCTTTGTGGAACAGCTATGCTTGGTACGTGACAAACGACTGCACCTCACAGTCGCAAACTACTTCAACTACCCCTCCCACTCCTTGGACGACATGTCCATCCTTGGCCCTCTCCAATGCCGCAACGATGCCACCCGAATGTTGCAGGAACAGCATCTCATGTTTCGCTTGGGAACCCTGTAGCCCAACGGTATCAATGTGGACTTCACAAGCTTCAAAATATCCCCGCCCCCGACCGCATCCCAAAATCAGCCCAGCTCGTCCCCACCTCCCTAAAGTGTCTGTCCTTTCTCCCACCTATCCACTCCTCCCACCTCAACACCCAGCCCCAGCTCCTACCTACCAGCCTCATCCCCGCCTCCTTAAACTGACCACCTTCCCTTGACTGACCTACCCTTACCCTAACTCCACACCTACACTCACCTTTACTGGCTCCATCCCCGCCTCCCTGCCATGTCCGTCTACTCTCCACCTATCTGCTCTTTTATCCATCTTCCATCCGCCTCCCCCCAGCTCTCTATTTATTTCAGAATCCCCTTCCAGTCCCCATTTCTGAAAAATGGTC